CCCCCCCCGCCGCTGGCTGGGGAAGGGAGGGGGAGGCTTTTGAAGATGCCTTCCCCCCTTTTGCTTCCCCTTCTGACATCACTTCCGGTGATGTCAGGGGGCGTTGCATATGCTAATGAGCTATTATGCTGATAGCCTAGTAACTCATTAGCATACTGTATGCTAATGAGCTCCTGCAGCTCTTTTTCTATGAAATGACCCCTGATGGAGTGCAGTGGGGGCAAGGCAACCCAAATCCTCTGCCTGCCAGTTTTGGGAAGCTTTTGCAAAACCTGCGCAGTTAAGGCCAAGCTGAGTTCCTTGCAAGACCTCAGCTTTTTGAGGGTTAGGTCAAAATAAACCTCATTTGTTAGTGGTTTATTACATTTATATCCTGCCTTTCAGCCATCATAGAACTCAAGGCAGAATACGTGAGGTTTCCAGAATGTTACCCATCCAGATCAAATCTGTTTCTCTTTAGCGTACATGGGGTTCCCAGGAAGGTGTCCTGCAGGCAGGCCTATTCAGGTCTCCTCTAGAGCAGTGTCCTCATGTCTAGACAGCAAGGCTTGGGAGGGTTGACAGGCAAGGAGCGGAAACACAGGCTTGCGCCTAGTGGACGGGTTGAGCCAGCAACGCAGCCTTCCCAAGTCTCAACCTAAATAGGCTGGAAGGTAATCAAGCTCAGCTGCACTGCTGGCAGGGGTTGAGCTCCTGCAGCTGTGTTGTGCTTTGGCCAGGATCCTACAAACAAGCAGGGTTGCCAACCTCCAGTTGGGGTCTTGAGATCTCCAGGAATAACAACTGCTCTCCAGATAATAGAGATCAGTTTCCCTGGAGAATATGGCTGCTTTGGAGAGTGCTCTTTCTTGTATCATATGCCCAGTGAGCATCCTACCTTCCCTAAAACTCACCCTCCCCAGGCTGCACCCCCAAATCTACAGGAATTTCCCAAGGTGGAATTGACAACTCTGTGAATAAGTATCAGTCTCACTACCTGGCTCTCGGACAGCCATTGTGCCATTTTGCCTCTTCTGGGCCACTTTGGCCCAGGCCTTCTGTTGCTGCCATTCCTACAGGGAGGGGACAGGGCTTGAGTTCCATGCAGTGGAGGCATGGTGGCTATCTCAGGGGCTGGCAGTGAGGCATAACTTGCAGGTTCCCACAGGATGGCCTCTGGCACATCATCCCCTGGCTCCTTTGCCATATCAGGCCCTTCCTGATCCTGCTGATCTTCCTCAGCTAGTGACCTTGGTTGCTCAGGCTGTTCCCCTGAGGACTCCGCATTTGAGTCGCTGAGTTGGTTGGAGGGGGACATCACAGAGATCTTCATCTACCCTCCAGTTGTATGCTGGGACCTTACTGGATCTGAACTGCCGGATCTAAGGAGGCCTTGCAAAATCCTAACACTAGTTAATCCAGAGATGTCCAGGTTAGAATGTACAAACCAAGCAGCATATGTGGCTAAAATGAACAAGCTTCTGGTATGCTTCCAGTCTGGGGCCTTCTACCTGTGATCTAATCCCCAGTAAATTGTAGTTCCAATGCTCCCTCTAAGCTGTGGAGTCTTGTGAGCAAAAATTCTACTTTGCGAGCTACTGGCATTAAAGTTGTGAGTGAGCAATTTGACTACTGCATAAATTAGTTTGCTCTGGAGCCATCCTTCCTGAGCTAAGACAAAAATGTGTGAGCCGGAGACTAAAGAACTGTGAACTAGTTCACACTAACTCAATTTAGAGGGAACACTGGTCCCACCTGACTTGCAAGCCAAGCACAAGTAGCAACAATCCCCCTTTGAAACCCTACGTGTGTGAAGCCTTAACAATCAAAAGTGCCTTGCTATGGAAAAGAGAAGAGATCCTCATCCCTGTTTACTCAAGACAGCTAAAGCCTTGAGAAGATCACATTCTATAACCTTCTCAAGTTATAATTTAACTCAGCCTTCCTTCTTTATGCCTTGGGAAATCTGCAGTTTTTGATGCCATTCCTTGTAATAAACCAAAGTACAGCTGAGACTTCTGTGAAGCGTGCAAGTTTTTTCTGGCTGGGCATCCTAGCTTCCGTTCTGATATGGGGTGGAAGGGGAGGGAACATGCTGGTGGAACTTTTTGGTTTGCTGTGATTCAGACTACAAAAGTATCTTCTGTTACAAAAATTAAATGGCTGAAATGTGAAAAGAGCTGTATCAGAGTTCCATCAAGGCACCTGCTTACCAGCTGGACTTCTCTGGCTCTTGTAGTGAAGCTTTTAATACCTCAGGTTCCTTCACCTTTCTCCTTCTGAACAAAATTTGAGTCCAGTGGCACCTTTAAGGCCAACAAAATTTCATTCAAGGTATAAACTTTTGTATGCAAGCACATTCTTCAGATACACTGAGGAAGTATGCTTGCACATGAAAGCGTATACCTTGAATAACATTTTGTTGGTCTTAAAGGTGCCACTGGACTCGAACATTGTTCTTCTGCTTCAGACCAACACAGTTACCCACCTGAATCTTCTTCCTTCTGTTCTTCAATGGGGAGAGTATCTTTAAGTGGACAGAGGTGATGGGTCTTGTGACTGAAGCATGTACGATGTGTGCAATCGCACTGGTAAGGTTGCACGTATGCTGTGGTTCCATGCCAGTGCGGAAGGAGCCTAGGACATGGTATTGAGTGTAGATTCCAAAACACCCCAGCTTTCCTTTAAAAGAAAAAAATCCCCACAAATTTGTAGACCTTTTGCTTGAAAGACACAGAGTTCCTAGTGGGTCATTAAACCTTCCACTTTTGAAGAGTAATTCAAATAGAAGACAAAAGCCAAAGTTGGCACAAAGAGTACAGGTGAAGCATCTATGGGGTCTGCACAGGATTAAGGCTTCTAAGAACCCAAAGCCCTTTTCGTCCAGCTGAGTAATCGCAAATCTGGGGGGGGGGGGGCATGGCAGGCATTGCATACAGACCATCTTTGCAAATTGGTTGTCTTTTCTCTCGGCAGGCTTGCAACTGCAATCAGTACCTGAAGATCTCCAAGGAGAAAATGATGCAGCTGATGAAGCAGAGAGGCTTTTTGACAGATGCAGAAGAAGCTGCAGGTAATCTGAGGTTTCAAGCAATGACCTTGGGAATTTGCTAAAGGCTGAGTGTCTTGTGCTGAAGTGTAGGTCACAGTATTGCCAGCACAAGTCAGCTGTGAATGTTAGGCCTTTTTTTTTTAAAGAGCAAGCTTAAAGTCATGATTGCCAAGGAGGGCTTGAAAGTGTGTAAACTATTCCTGACAAGCCTTAAGGGGACTGAGCAGTTAGAACAGTTTTTCAGTGGTGACGACAGTAGTAATAATAATACAGCGTTTGCCCAGTACTTTCAATGTTCAAAACCTTTCACATACATTTCATTGCAGTCGTTACAACAGCTGTATAAGATAGACAAGTATGATTCCTGTGGTAGGGGAACAAGCAGGCCTGTAGCTACAGTGGGGCATTTTGGGGCCCTGCCCCCTAACTTCCTGCCAAGGCCCCACGACTTCCCCACCTCCCAGCAGCCCTGCCAGCTCTGCCCTGGGCTGGCAGTTGGGGGGAGGGGCTGTGGGTCCCAACCTGGTGGTGGCGATGGCAGTACAACCAGTGGGCAGGCCAGGTGGGGCTGGCAGGCTGTGGGTCCCAAGCTGGTGGCACAAGGCAGCTGTGGCGGGAAGTGGCACAAGGCAGCTGTGGCAGGCAGGCCGGCCGGCAGGCAAGGTGGGGCCACCAGGTGCAGGGAGGCAGAAAGGGTTTGTTTCAGTCACAGACAGCTCTCTCCCTTCCACTCCTGCCAGCTTGGGCAATCTCGGCTGCTGCAAACTGAGGGCAAAGCCCTCCTCCCTTCGAAATAAGCTTGAAAATCAAATGCTGGGCAGCGAGCACAGAAAAATGCGTCTCTGAACATGCACAGAGTTACCCATAGGAAGGCACGTTGTGGGTTCCTGGGGGTAGTAACTCACTGCACTTTGCATAGGGGTTAGAAGATGTGATCTGTTTAAATCTAAATCTTTAATGAACTCAGAGTCAGTGACTCCCATTTACACTCACCCTCCACAATATGGGAAATGATCCTGCCTGCTTCAACTGGCGAGCGTGAGGTTTTTTAATTTTATTTTTATTTTAACAGTGCCCCCCGATTTATTCAAAGGCCCCCTGAATTTAAAAATCCTGGCTATGGGCATGGGAAACATGGCTTTACTGCTTGTTCTCCCAGCTGTCTTCTGCCTTCCTTAGAACAGCAGCAGCAGAGGGTGATGCAGAGGAGCTTGTCCCTGTCCATTTGCCTAGTGACTTCTGGCAAGTAGGATCTCCTCCTGTTTATCAGGCCAGGAAAAGAGTTCATCCCTGTTTGTCTTTGGCCACCAAGAAGTGTGATGGAATGCTGTATTCTTCCCACCCTGTCCTGACAGAACTGAATCAGTGAAACTGTGGGTGGGTGCCCTTGTGGGAGCATCGGGGATTGTAGAGCATGTTAGGTTAAGCAAGTGCCAGGTAGTAACTTTGGATTCATTTATCTGAAAGAAAAATATCTAACTTCATGGGAGCCGTGCAGTTTATTTTGAGTTTGGAATACTTTTGAAGACCATGAATCCCTCATGGGCGTGCGTGTGTGTTGGGGGGCTGTCTCCCCGGCAAATTCAAGGCCAGAGCCATGGGGTTGGGAAAGAGGTTTGGGGGGATCTAGTTCCCCTCAGGAGTTTTCTAGGTTTCTTCCTAAATGTTCTGCTTTCATTTGTGAATAAAATGAAGAAAAAATAGACCTGTATCCCACCACAAGGCAAAATGGGCACATTATGCACAGAAGCAACCCATAGGTGTCGAAACTACATTTTATTATACTTTTAAAAACATATTTTAAAAAAACTAAACGTTTTCACTATTCTTAATAAATTTGACATTTTTAATTAAAAATGTTTTAAAATACATTTGAGGGTGTGGATCCTTGTTCCGCCTCTTAAATTTTAAAAAGTAAAAATTTCTAGCCTTCTTACAAAGTGTGCAGGCAGGTCCATGTTCCTACCCAGTTACACTGTAAAGTCAACCTTCTCCTTCTCTCCATTACTCTGCCCAGTCCATGCAAAGGCACCAAGATGACTGACAAGCTCTAAGCCCTTCTTTCTAAATATGATACGACTATATTTATTGTTGTTAGTGATACCATTAAATAACTGTCAGTGTGTATGGCTATCCATATTCAGTTTCTGGCTAGTTTTGCATTGATTCTGGCTCCCTCCCCACAATGAATTCATTTGTGGCCACATTTCAAACTGTGGCTTTTAACAGACTGACCACTGTGTAAGGAGAAGTTTTTCCCATGCTCTTTCCAAACTGGTGAATCGGCAGGCAGGGAGAGGGAAGCTGTGAGTCTGGGTATTTTCCCCTTCAACTTTTCCCATTGAAAGCTATTTTTCCTCAGCCTGTCGCCATGACCAACCAAGCCAGTTTAACAGGTTTCTCCATAGAAAGGGATTGGGGAACAGAGAAGCTTTGCTTTCTATGTTTCTTTATGCTCACCCCCCCACCCCAAAACATTCACTCTCTCTTGTCAGTGTCTCCCTGGAACCACAGGAGAAGCAAAGAAACTGGTGGGGAGGGGATGAAGGCAAGTACTGACGACCATTTGCTGAGTGGTAATGAGCACAATATGTTAGAATCCAGTTTGTACACGCACCACATTGTGGGTGCATAATCAACGCCTGTACAGGGGGGTTGGGATCAGGTACACTGGTCCCATCTCTTACCTATAACTGAGCGTGCTGGGCACACTTCGCCCTACATTTATTCATCCCTACACAGGCACAACCAGCTGCGCATATACAAGCTGTACAAGTACGGGCTCTGTCTCCATGATCAGGAACACTTCTTGATCCTGAGGGCAGAGCCTACACACGTAGGGTCCTGTACCCATATGAAGTGAACACACATAGGTGGGGTACATGGGCTGGTATACCTGGTCCCATTCCCCATTTATGCATGTTAATCCTGTACCCACATAAGTCATGTGCACAGGATTGTATCATCCTATGAAACTGAGGAGAGTTTTTACCACTCATGAGATGCAGACTTCTGGTAAAACAGTTGCCTGTCCTCTTGGTTGTCTTTATTGTCTCCTATTCATCAGGACGAAACTCTGACCCACTGTTGTCTTGGGTTTCTAGAGCCTATACAAAAACTCTTTTACAACACATTTGGCAATAGATATGTTTGTGTGGAATTTTTCTTTGCTACTTAATATGATAAAGATAACCAAGATGATCCAGCTTGTCATTGCCCTGGAGTGATTTTGTAATCTGAATGGTCTCCTGATCAAGTGTATTCAGGTGCTCTTTAGATGTTCTAGCATTGTCACAGGAGCCACTTTTCCATGGGATTGTCCATGTGGAAAGGGCCGGTTACATAGATCTGCCCTACCAGTCATCAGGTCCCTGTTCCTACCTGGGCAACAAAAATTGCATCATAAGATCTACCTGATGACCCGACCCACATGGTGAAGGGCTTTTAAACATTACAGGAGTACTGTGAAATAATCCTATGGAAAAACCAATCTCATGCCACATCCAAACATCTAAAAGACTGCCAATTCCTCCTACCCAGGTTGGTGAGTATACTCTCATAATGTATCTGTACCTGATCTGCCCATTCGGAAGACCAGATATCCTGGACTGAGCTCCTTCTCTCAGCCCGAGATAGCTTGATCACCTTTATCTATCCTATCAAATAGCAAGGACAAAATTGTCACAAATCAAATGTCTGGTAGAAGAGATGCTAAAATAATTGTTCTGATATGCTTCAGTAATACAGGGAAGCAGTGGAATGATAGGATTAGTCCAATAATAAAGGCAGCCGTCCTACTGAGTGGTTACATGGTGTTCTCTGATAGGCTACCATTTGGTCAGTGATTGTCTGGGAACCTCCACTGATAACCAAACTACCCTGAGGTGAGCTCTTATGCTTTTTTTACTGCACCTCTCTGTGGAACAGGATGTGTGATAGTGCTCAGTTTATAGCCACTCGATGTAAATCCTTGTCTGTATTCCCCAAAGCAAATGTTTAATGAAGGATATGTATTCATTGTTATCACATGCTTCTTCCAATTTTGATCCTCACAGCAACCTTGTAAACTAAACTAAGAGAGAGTCGCTGGCCTAGGGCCACCCAGTGAGGTTTACTGCTATGTCAGGATTTGAATCCAAATCCAGAATAATCTATTCTGCCACACTGGCTCAGGAAAAGCAATTGCTCTTGCTGGAATCCATCCCGATCCTGTATTTTCCCACGCCCATTCTTTCCCTCACCTTTTTTTTAAAAACACCTCAGCTTGCATGTTACTAAAGGACAATTAATCGTCATATAATTACTCATTTGAATTTTTACCTAAGGCTTTCTGCAGGGTTCCCAGGGTTTGGGAACTCTTCCTGCCCCTTCTTTTCTTTTTGGGACCCAATGTGTTGTCTGGTTTTTTGGCCAGAAATCACTGACAAGCCTCAACGGATCTACCTGTGGCTAGAATTCCCATCGTGGTGGTCCTGAGGCTATGGAGGAAGGGGAAGAGAAAACCAGACTGGAAAACAGTGGACGGGGTTGCTGAATTGCTTTCATCCTCCAACCCCATTACCACTTCAGACCCCTTTTTGGGGCTTTACCACAGAATTAACCCAGCTTTGCCAGCAAGTTGAAGGGCATGAATCCTCCAAATTTACATATACTAGTGATGATTTGTGACACTTTGATAGTTGGTGTAGTCTGTGTACCAGTGCCAGGATGCGACATAAGGAGAAAGCCTCTGTGTCCAGTCCGTTGACCCTCCTGGGTCACTGGTTATATGCTGGGTGAAACAGGGTGTTGGTCAAGATGGAAACTGCTCTGATTCAGCACAGCTCTTCTCATTTTTGTAAGTGTAACCCTACAGTCAAAGTAGACAAACTATCAGGAGGATTTTTAAAAATAGCCATGAGAGGCAGGGTGGGATTAATCCTTTCATCTCTGTACCATTTTTCTGATGTCTGTGCCTCCCTCCCAAAAAGCTGCCATTTGCACCACAAAGGAAAACAGATCAGTAGCTGTATGGTGCTTGT